CACACCCATCCCAGCCGCTCTAAGGGACACCGGCATCCCCTACAGTTCCGAGGAGCAGCGTGGACTCACCCCGTCCGGAGCTGCTCCGGCATCCCTCGTTGCCGCTCTGGATGTCCTGCACCAGCCCTGTGCTGCAAGACGTGGGGGGCTTCAGCCACACAGCCCCGGCTGAGCCCACCCTCCTGGGGTCACAGCCACCAGGAGCCCACCACCAGATACCAGACCTTTGGGGGTGGCACTAGGGCAACTGTGCCACAGGGTGATATGCAACAACACAGGAAGGGACAGGTGTAAGGCTCATGGGGACCCTGCCAGGGATGGGCAGTTAGTCCCTACCTGTCTGTGGTGGCGGGGGGGCGGGGGGGGGCCGTCCCAGGCGCAGTAAGGGTCCCGGGCGAGGACACAGTCGTAGCAGGATGCGTAGCTGGCGCAGGAGGCCAGGGGCACCTGCAGGACCCCACTGGCTGCCCCCACATACAGGCTCCTCTGGGGGAAAAGGGCTGGCTCAGCATTGCCCTGGTAGACCCATGGTGCCCAGAGATTCTTCCCCAACCCCACAACACAGCTCTCCCTTGGTGGGGGCGCATGGGGAAGTACCCCCAGCTCCAGTCAATGCCAATGGCTGCAGCTGGCATCCATCAACAAGGTGGGGGCCTGGCTGGTGCTTGACCCTAGGCTGCCCTGCTGGTCTCTGGTGCATATCCTGAGCTGGGGTGACACAGGAGTCACGTCCCCACCGTACTCCAAACAGCCCGACAGCAGCTCTGTAGCACAAATGTGCTGCATGGCATCCCCTCACTTCTTCCACCTCTCACCTTGGCGTGTGAGATCACCAGGCTCTCCACGGGCTGCACATCCTTGAACACCTGCACCTCCTCCACGATGTGGATGCTGGAGCCCACCACCACGGCCTTATGGATCCAGCCATCTCCTGAAGAGCACAGCACGTGGTCAGGAGGGTGCATGGGGTGTGTCCCCCGGCCCCTCCCAGCAAAGACCCAGCAAACTCATCCTGTACTCACCCGTCCCCATAAAAAGCACATCGTAGGAGCGGCCGTCGAGGGCCTGCACCCTGTCCACGGTCAGCTGGCTGTACACCACGCTCTTCTTCAAAAAAAACGGCTTCACCTCCTCAAACATAAGCGGGTGCAGCTTGACGAAGTCCAGGACACTGTTGGGCAGGTCCTGCGAGGAGTTGTAGCCCTTCCTGCGGGAGCGGTCGGTGATGCACTGCCCAGGGAAAATGGGGGTCAGGGGGAGGTGTGGCTGCCCCATTCTCCT